AAAAAAAAAAAAAAAAAAGACAAGCTCCTCTTCCTTAGGAGACTACCTTCTGAACCCTGCCCTCTGTGTACCCACAGGTAACTCAGGAATTTGCATCGCCTGCCAGAAACCTTCCTGGCACACACCCTCCAGTAAACAAAGACAAGCAGAGCCTCCTCTTTCATTCACGCAGATCCAGGTGGGCCCAAATTCCAGGCACAGGCCTGAAAGCTGGTTGACCATAGAGGCATGAGAAAGCTGGGGGCCACAGGGACGAAACCTGGATGTCCCTTTCTGCCCCAACCCAGGGTTTGTCCTCAACACAAGTGGCTTCTCATCAGCAGGGCTCTGCTGCTAACTAATTTGGAAGATAGAAACATATCCATTAATTTGATTAAATCGATTCATAATAACAGATGGAACTTTCTAAAGAGAAATCATGAAACTGCAAGGCATGATTAGAAAAATGAGCTAGTATCTTTTCTAACTGCAACCTATGTTCTTCGTATTGCTGTTTTTCACTGGCAGAGCCCTGTCTGGAGCACCCTCAGTGCCAGGCCCCGAGAGGCAGGTTTGGGGGAACATTTGGGTTTTAGTGAGAGTTACAGGAAGCGGTGGCCCTCATGCTGCTGATGCCCATGCCCATCAGGCCCCTAACAGCTGCAACCCAGCAGCGGAGAGCCACACCCACTGTCGTTTACCTTCACACTGCTCCTCCCTTTCCCACCACCTCTTTCTTAGTGATATGGTTTGGATCTGCATCCCTGTCCAAATTTCATGTTGAATTGTCATCTCCAGTATTTGGAGGTGGGGGCTGGTGGGAGGTGACTGGATCATGGTGGCCATTTCTCATGAATGGGTTAGCACCATCCTCTTGCTGCTGTTCTTTGAGATCTAGTGTTTAAAAGTATGTGGCACCTCCCCATCTCCTGCTCCGGCCACGTGTCACACCTGCCCCCCCTTAGACTTCCATCACGATTGTGAGTTTACTGAGGCCTCCACAGAAGCCGAGTAGATGCCAACATCATGCTTCTGCTCCAGCCTGCAGACCCATGAGCCAGTTAAGCCCCTCTTCTTTATAAATTACCCAGCCTCAGGTATTTATAGCAATGCTAGAACAGACTTAATACAGTTATTCTGAGGTTTCCCCACATGAAAAAAGTTAAGAAGAATTATGAAGCAGGGTGGGGGGCTACGAAATGACTGGCAGAGGCAGTGGAGGCCCTGACTTCAACCTCACTCCTAGCCTTGTCACAGGGAAATTTACCCCAGTAACTCTTGCTGAGCCTCGTTTTCTCCTCTGTGAAATGGGGAGGACAATGCATGGCCTGCCCATCTCATGCACCTGCTGTAATGGTTAGATAGACTTAGGTCTGTGAGAGCATTTTAGAAACGTAATATCCATTTCTTTTTTTTTTTTTTTTTGAGATGGAGTTTCGCTCTTGTTGCCCAGGCTGGCATGCAATGGCGTGATCTCAGCTCACTGCAACTTCCACCTCCCGGATTCAAGCGATTCTCCTGCCTCAGCCTCCCAAGTAGCTGGGATTACAGGCAGGTCACCAAGCCCACCTAATTTTTTGTATTTTTAGTAGAGATGGGGTTTCACCATGTTGGCCAGGATAGTCTCGAACTCGTGACCTCAGGTGATCCACCCGCCTCAGCCTCCCGAAGTGCTGGGATTACAGACGTGGGCCACAGTGCTGGGCCTCAATAACCATTTCTAAAAGCCTCAGCCAATGGCTCACAACTGGGGGCTCCAGGTGAGAATCAGTGTGAGAGCATCAGTAATTGGAATGGGGAAAGGACACTTTCTCATAGGACAGTTTCTGGCCTGGAAGTTTGAAAATCAAACTGAATAATGGAACCTGACTTTCCCCAAAGGAGAGGTGTGTAATTTTAAAATAAATACTCAACCGATTTGGTTGTGAGGCAAAACTGTGTTTGACTTACTCCGTTTCTACTTGGTAATGACTTGTAGCAGGCCCCTGTTTGCAAAATTGTCAGCACTGGTGGGAGGTAGAGCAAAGGGTCGCTTTCACAGTGAGAAATGACAACCACATCACAGCCACGGGCTATGGGAGGCCAAGAGTAAGATTCGGTGTGGCTGGGGCCGGGAAACTTATTTCTTTGAAGAGCCTGCAAAACAGCAACAGCCAAAAACCAAAATAAGGTAGAGATATCTAACAACAACTCCATCGCATGGCTCATTTCACCCCAACAAGCACTACCCATCGCCAAACCTGGTATTTCCCAAGCCCTAAGCTGTTAAGTTTCCCGGAATCTTTTCTCAGTACCAACCTCCTATTAAAAGACCCTTGCTCTTTCTCCTATTAAGACTTCCAATAAAAGATTCTTGCAGCCAGGCGCGGTGGCTCTTGCCTGGAATCCCAGCACTTTGGGAGGCCGAGGCGGGTGCATCACTTGAGGTCAGGAGATGGAGACCGGCCTGGCCAACATAGTGAAACCCCATCTCTACCAAAAATACAAAAATTAGCTGGGTGTGGTGGCGCATGCGTATAATCTCAGCTTCTCCAGAGGCTGAGGCATGAGAATAACTTGAACATGGGAGGTGGAGGTTGCAGTGAGCTGAGATCACATCGCTGCACTCCAGCCTGGACAACAGACTCTGTTTTTACCCCTGACAAAAAAAAAAAAAAAAAAAAAAAAACAAATCTCTTTTTTAAAAAAAAAAAAAAAAAAAAAAAAAGATTCTTGTTTCAATTTTCTAAATTAAAAGGATCCAACAGGTGGCCCATTGACAGACACTTAAAGTTCACCAGCCAAGGATGAGGTTTTTCCTCCTCATTCTCCTAACCTGCCAGTCCATCAGCTTCATCTGTAAAGCTTTTTAAAAGGTAAGTTTTTATTTGCTTTTCTTTTTTTTTTTTTGAGACGGAGTTTCGCTCTTGTTACCCAGGCTGGAGTGCAATGGCACGATCTCGGCTCACCGCAACCTCCGCCTCCTGGGTTCAAGCAATTCTCCTGCCTCAGCCTCCTGAGTAGCTGGGATTACAGGCATGCACCACCATGCCCAGCTAATTTTTGTATTTTTAGTAGAGACGGGGTTTCACCATGTTGACCAGGATGGTCTCGATCTCTTGACCTCGTGATCCACCCGCCTCGGCCTCCCAAAGTGCTGGGATTACAGGCTTGAGCCACCGCACCCGGCTATTTGCTTATTTGCTTATTTTTCTATGTAACCGTCACTAAAACCCAAATGTTCCAACAGAGTTCTCCACCCACATGTACAGGATCTTCCAAAACGCTGAGCGTATTGGCACCATGAGCTCTGTGAGTCCTCGAGTCCTGAGCCCTAGCTGCAGTCAGGACCCATGCGCTGCACCTGGCATTCAGCAACCAACCTGGGATCATCCTTCACCATCATCCTTCCTCTGCAACCCATGTGGTCATCTTTCTCGGGTTACTTCTTTGTTTTGGTAGAGAACATGAAATTTCAGTATCTTCTTAACAAAAGGTAGAAGGGAAATAAGTTTTTTTGAGACTCTATGTCTGCTAATGTCTTCATTCTACCCTCACACTCCATCCACAGTTTGAGTATGGACCTCTGGTTGGAAAGAGCTTTCCATCAAAAAAAAAAAAAAAAAATTTTTTTTTTTTTTTTTTTTTTTTTTTTTTTGAGACAAAGTCTCATTCTGTCATCCAGGCTGGAATGCAGTGGTGTGATCTTGGCTCACTGCAACCTCTACTTCCCAGGTTCAAGTGATTCTCATGCCTCAGCCTCCCAAGCAACTGGGACTACAGGCAGGTATCAACACACTGAGCTAACTTTTTGTATTTTAGTAGAGACAGGGTTTTACCATGTTGCCCAGGCTGGTCTCGAACTCCTGAGCTCAGGCAATCAGTACCTTGGCCTCCCAAAGTATGAGGATTAAAGATGTGAGCCACTGCACCCAGCCTCATGAGAATTTTGACATCAATGCTCATCTGCTGCATTGTGGAGACATCTGAAGCCATTTTGATTCCTGGTCCGGTGCGTAGGACCAGTTTCATCTCTCATAATCTTTGGATCCCTCACCTTACATGCTTCACAAGAACATGTCTAATCTCTTTCTTCGGTAGTTGTGCTGGGCCTGTGATGGATAGGCCCTTTTAATCTGAAGATTTTTGTCCATTAGGTCCAGAAAACGTTAATCTTCAGAAAATGCCCTACCATCTTCTTCACTCTTCCTAGAAACTCCATTTTCAGATACTGGACCTCAAATAGACCCTCAAAAATTTTTCCTCTCATTTCCATCTCTTTGCCTTTTTCTTCTACTTTCTGAGAGTTAGCTTCTCTTTTATATCTCAAACATACTAGTGGTTTTTACATTTTTCATTATTTTGAATTTCCAAGAACCTTTTTTTCTGCCTGTTCCTTTAAAAAATATCCTATTTTAAATATCCCCAGAGAGAAGATATTGCATTCCTTTAACAGTAAACTGTTAGGGATGCAATATCTTCTCTCTGGGGATATTTATTTTCTCTGGGGATATTTATTCTCTAACATTTTCTCCTATTCATTGCATTGCTTGTTTCCTTGAGAGTTTATTTTGTTTTTTTTTTGTTTTTTTGTTTTTCTTTGAGATGGAGTCTTGCTCTGCTGCCCAGGCTGGAGTTCTGTGGTACAATCTCAGCTCACTGCAACCTCTGCCTCCTGGGGGTTCAAGTGATTTTCCTGTCTCAGCCTCCCGAGTAGCTGGGACTTCAGGCATGTGCCACCCACGCATGGCTAATTTTTCTATTTTTAGTAGAGACGAGGTTTCACCATGTTGGCCAGGCTGATCTGAAACTACTGACCTCAGGTGATCTGCCCACCTCAGTTTCCCAAAGTGCTGGATCAGGTGTGAGCCAATGCACCCCGGCCCGGTGGTGGTGGTGGTTTTTTTTTTTTTTTTTTTAAGGTGAAGGCTTTCTTCAAATGTCCATGACCCCTAATGTCTGTTCATGGTGGAGAGGAAGACACTGGAGGCTCTGTGGAGTGGGCGACTCTTGTTACCACATGAGTGTCACCTCACCACAGGAAGACAGGGCAGCAAGCAGGCCCTGTTCGTGGGAGAATTTCAAACAGCATCATCTGAAGGTCATTTCTCTAGGGCCATTCAGTTTCCTCAAAAAGAGCCTCCAACCTTGCTGCTGAGAACAAAACAAGCCAGCTGTGGGTGCTCAGGAGCCAGAGCAAGGGGTTCACGCTCCCTTTGCAGAGTGCTCCTTCCCTGCAGAGGCAGCCACACTCCATCTCCTGCTTTTATCCTCTAAGGCTGTGGAATCTGTCCACTTCTCTCTCATGCTATTTGTCCTGGTAGTTACATCTTCCAATCTTTAAAAAAAAATTTTTAACTTTTTTTAATCAGAAAAAAGTAGATAAACATATATGATCAGTTTTCCACACCTGTAAGGCAATTTTGAAAAGAACAGCTGGGGCGTGCATTACAACTCCCCTGGCAGCCTGCTGCTCCTCCCGCAGCCCTGTCCCCAGGCATACTGGAAACCTGACTGCAGAAGGGGCTCACAGTTCCACAGCAGCTGCTTCACAAAACACTCACTCACTCGCTCGCTTGTAAGACGCTAACCTGGAGTTAAGAGTAAATGAGAAATTAGGCTGGGCATGGTGGCTCATGCCTGTGATCACACACAGACACACACACACACAAAGCGAATTTCAAAAGCAAAGAAATGATACAATGCAACCTTAGAACCATTTAAAAATCTTTCTGTATTAGGAAACGGTGGTGTTTCTTGATGAATGCGGTTTTACGAGCGCTTGTACCTTCTTCAGTTCTGCTGACAGCGGCGACGACTCGATGGTTACGCAGGGCTCGATCTTGTTACGGAGCACTGCCACAGGTGGCTGCAGGCCCGACTTCAGCTTCTGCAACTGAGAGAACGCGTGCATTAGACAGCCGGTATCTGCCCACGGCGTTAGCACAGGAGAGCAAGAATTTCATGGAAATGAAGGAAATACAGATTTCACTGTAAACACCTGGGTACATACGCTTATTTTAAAAAACATTTCCAAAAGGAAGACCATTTATTACTGCCCCCCCCCAAAAAATGAAACAATTTCTCAGAAGCAACAATCCCTTAGATCGTTTCTAAAAGGATGTCTTCAGGTAGAGGCCCCCACTTAAGGAGTTTCTCCTCTAATCTCAAGTCTGGAGGGAAGAAGGAGAAGGATGTAAAGAATAAGCAATTTTCTCTCTCTTTTTAATTTACTTTTTTAGGGCCTGTAATACCTGCTGGAGATCAGAGATTCCATCAGCTCTCAAAGGATCAGGATTTAAAAACTGTAGTAATCTGTAAGATAGTTAAAAGACGAGAGTGAAGAAAAACGTGTTTCTGTTCCCTCAGTAGAGCTATTCTTTCAGTTCTTCCTTGATGGAGGTAGCAGGGACTGCACAGCCCGTGGCTCGGCTGTACACCGCTGCCTGTTCTGTTCTGCTTGGTTTGTGAGACATGAGGGCCCGCACCTGTGCCGCCACAACTCTGCCACACAAAGCCCCCCTGAGAGTATCTGTGGGGCCCCAGCCAAGCTCAGGGGCCACTAGTGGACTTCACTATCTTTATTTTATGGATGAGAAAACGAGACCAGATAGGACTTGCCTACAGCCACCTCTGAGAGAAGAAGGAATTTGAAACTGCTCTCCTTTAGATCCAGCCCCACCCTAACATGGGTAAGGCCAGGGACGGTCACAGAGAAGTCACAACCCACAGACATGGTGGGGACGCCAGGATAAAGAGGGTTGGCTACACATATGGCAAACTACACTCTTTCCTAAAGCCCCATTCCCGTAAATAGACTTTTTTCTTTAAGATGAAGTCTTGCTCTGTCACCCAGGCTGGAGTGCAATGGCGTGATCTGAGCTCACTGCAACCTCCGTCTCCTGGGTTCAAGCAATTCTCCTGCCTCAGCCTCCCGAGTAGCTGGAATTACAGGCACCCGCGACCTCACCTGGTGAATTTTTAGTAGAGTCAGGGCTTCGCCATGTTGGCCAGGCTGGTCTCAAACTCCTGATCTCAGGTGACCTGCCAGCCTCGGCTTCCCAAAGTGCTGGGATTACAGGCATGAGCCACTGTGCCCAGCCCTGTAAATGAATTTTTAAACGTAAAAGCCACAAGACCCAACTCCATCAGCTGATGAATGGGTACATGAAATATGCTCCATGCACTCAATGGAACATAAGGCAGCCATGAAAAGGCATGCTATGCTTGTTTATGATATGGCAGAGGTGAGCCCTGGAAACACGGTGCGCTGTGAAACCAGTGTCACCAAGGCCCACACACCATATGATCCCATCAATATGAAATGTCCTGAACAGGCAAACCCACAGAGACTGAAAGCAGACTGCTGGCTGCCAAAGGACGTGGAGAAAAGAAAATGGAGAGTGGCCACTAATGGATATGGACTTGGGTGGCTACAAACTGTAGATATACTAAAGACCACTGAGCTGTACACTTGAAAAAAAGGGGACATGAATTATATCTCAAAAAAGCGGTAGTTTATAGACAATATTCCAAAACAATGTTAGAAGCTAAAAAACAGATGGATAAACTATTAGTAGCCCCAAGACAGCTGAATCTGAGCCAGCCATGGGAGGCCTGACTCTGTCTGCAGAGAACCACCTTCAGAAAGCTTAGGAATTAGGGCCAGGCTTCCTGGCTGCAACGGTGTGGCAGGGGAGGAAACTCTGCATTGCCTTATTGCTGCTCCACACCAGACAGCCACTCACCCCAATCAGAGGAAGCCCAGGGGCTGATTCTCTGGAGAGGATAAAGCAGAACTCTCAGGCTACGAGCTGCCAGCTGCAAACAGAGGTGCTGAACTAAAAAGAGGGAGGCTAAGCAAACACAGGACAGGGAGACCCAGCCTGCACCTTCCACTCAGCCCCCAGGACAGGGGCAGGTCTTCACCACCGTGGGCAGAGATAGGAGAAACCTTCCCTCTGGCATCTGGCCCACCGGAGAGGAAAGACAGAGAGAAAGACTTCAGTCTCACAGGCTTGGTACACTCAGAGACCCTCACCGGCTCACTGGGCCTCTACCTTGAAATAAAAGCAGACAATCAAGGACCGCAAGACATCTAAGGAAAGCCTCCAACCTAAAAAGCAAATAATGCACCCTGCAAGAAAAAGAAACAGTGTAGGGAGAAGAAAACTCCCCCCGCAAAATCATGAGTCTCCTTAGAGAAATGAGAGAAACCATCATATATATGAAACAAGGACAACACTATTGGAAAGAGAAAAGAGAACAAAAGGAAAACCCTTGCAAATTAAAAATGGGACGTTCGAAATAAAAAACTCAATAAAATGAGAAGAGGACAAAATTGTAAAAACATTCCAAAATGTCAAGCAGGCCAGGCGTGGTAGCTCATGCCTATAATCCCAACCTTTTGGGACGCCAAGGCAGGCAAATCACTGGAGGTGAGAAGTTTGAGACCAGTCTGGTCAACACGGTGAAACCCAGTCTCTATTAAAAATACAAAAAAGGTCAGGTGTAGTGGCAGGCACTTGTAATCCCAGACTGAGGCAGGAGAATCACTTGAACCCAGCAAGTAGAAGTTGCAGTGAGCCAAGATCCCACCACTACACTCCAGCCTGGGTGACACAGTGAGACTCCATTTCAAAAAAATACATAAAGCAAGAAGACAAAGAGATTTAAAAAAAAAAAAGAAGAAAAATATATTTTATAAAATTACACAACCAATTCAGGAGGTTAAACATATGAGTCACAGAGGTTCTTAAAAGAAGACAGAGAACATTGAGTGTAAGGGAACAATGAAAAAGTCAAGAGAATTTCCCAGGGGTAAGAGACACGAGACCACACATTGGAAGGGTCCACCAAACAGCAAGCATAATAACAGAACCGCACCAAGGCACAACATTAGGAATTTCCAAACACTGGCAACAGAAGAGGAAGCTTCCTATAAGCTTCCAGAGAGAGAGAAAAAAGGAGAGATATATAAATAAATCAGAATAGAGTGGACGTCTTCACAGTAGAAACTAGAAGTAGAAATGTCTTCAAAATTTTTACCCAAACTATTGATCAAGTGTGAAGATAGTCTAAAAGCATTTATGCAAAGTCTCTAAAAAATTTATGTTTTGTGTCTCCCTTCCAAGAAAGCTACAAAAGGATGCTCTCCACCGAAACAAGGGAGTAAACTAAGTAAGAAGATGGACGATCCAGAAAAGAAGGGATTAAATTCAAGAAAGATGCAGGAATCTCAGGATGCTGATGACAAATATGGGACACATCAGGCACACACCAAAGCAGACGGGAATGGTCTGGGGAGATCTCCAAAGAATCACAAGTGAGAATCTGAGTTTGACAACAGAGGAGAATTCTAGAGATGAATCTTTAAGACAGATTAAAAATTTAGGAAAGTAAGCCAGGCATGGTGGCACACAGTAGTCCCAGCTACTTGAGAGGCTGAGGGAGAAGGATCGCTTGAGGCCAGAAGTTTGATACCAGCCTAGGCAACACAGTGAGACCACATCCAAGAAAAAAAAAAAAAAAAAAACTATTAACTTCAGGTAAACCAAAAGGCCATGTGAGAAGAGAAAAGCAGTCATGCTCTGTGACTGCAGGGCTCCGCAGCACTCACCTGCTCACAGCCCGGGGACAATGCACACTCATCTCACTGGATCATGACACAGCCAGAGTGGGGTCATGGGAAGAACAGAAGCATGGGTGTGATTTCAAGAGGGAAGGGGAATGGTTGTACAACACAGCCGCGTCCTCACCGCTGCTGTGTTCTTTGGCAGAAGGCTTGGGTCTAGAAGGACAGCGTCTGACCCTGAACTCAGCAGCCTGTGCGAAGGGCATTTCAGTCCAGGCTTTGAAGTACACTGCTGTTCAGACTCTGACACTGAAATGGTATCATGAAGAATGCGCATATTTGGGTCAGGCACGGTGGTTCACTCCTGTAATCCCAGCACTTTGGGAGGCTGATCATCTGAGGTCAGGAGTTCAAGACCAGCCTGGTCAATATGGTGAAATCCCATTTCTACTAAAAATACAAAAAATAAAAATAAAAATTAGCCAGGCGTCATGGCACATGCCTGTAATCCCAGCTACTTGGCTGGCTGACGCATGAGAATCGCTTGAAACTGGAAGGCAGAAAGGCAGAGGTTGCAGTGAGCCAAGATCGCACCACTGCACTCTAGCCTGGGCCACAGAGTGAGACTGTCTAAGAAAAAAAAAGAATGCATGTATTCAGAGAATGTTTCCATCTTCAATCAGTGGGCAGTACAAAGTAGGCTGATGTTATAATGTTTAAAGGAAGACAACAGAAGAATAAAGAACGAATATCACAGTAGGCATGAGGGACACAGAAGATGGAAAGACGAACTGCAGAGAGGGCTCCAGGGTACGTTAAATATCAGAGATGACATGAGCAGCAAGCAGGCACCACTCCACCCTTCCATGCACAGGACTTCTTAACCAGTCATCAAAGTACTCCCTGCAGCACATATGGCTACAGTGCCAAAGTCCAGACTCCTCCTGAAAATAATGCTCCGAGAGTTACCACACAGAGTTGAGAATCACCCCCCACCCAGCATATTCCCACAGGCTGGGCGGAAGCTGGCACCAGCTTAGAAACACAACCTCAACCCACTCCAGGCTGCCTCGACACCTCCGGAAGCCCTTAGCAAACACAGCAGTTTCTCTTGGATACCCAAAGATTAGGAGAGAGAAATCCGCTAGGAGGGCCCTTAAACCCGGGCGTGGGCCCTGCCACTCCCTGTGCTACCCAAGCATCCGGGATTCCCAAGGGGACGGTGGTATGCGATCCTGGAATGGGCCAGACTGAATCTGGGGTGACCTCTTCTTGAATGTACTGTAACCTTGAGGGTCTCCAAAATGAGTTATATGAAGGAACGGGCCCGAGGAGAAAGAAACACAACTGCTTGCTGGTACTTACAAGCTTGAGCAATGCCATCAACGAAACAAAAAGACAAGAAAAACAAAACCACAGGCATCACACAGAGGAGGCTAGTGGCCTCTCTCCTCACACCTGGCCTCTGGCAACGAGCCAAGGTCCCTGTGCCCCTCTGGCCACATTGTGACAGTCGTTATCATAGTCCCAAGTGAGGTTTGGGGATGCGGCAACGCGGGTCCCTGGCTGGCCATCCTTAGGGAAAGGGTGCCTCTCCTCCAGGCTGCCTTCTCTATCTTGCCAGAAATGACAGCACAGGGTTCCCCAGGCTTTGGACGCAGTACAACCAAGGCAGGACCTCTGCTTGGTCAAGGGGGTGGGTCCCAGGATCACAAGGTCATCCCTGTGTCCCTAAGGAACTCAAAGCCTTCTTTGCTGTTTAATCTTGAACCACCGCAAAGTTCCCTGAAACCACAGGAGACTGACAGGATAACTGACATTTAATCCATGGATTCTAAGTAAAGGGCATTTTAGCAAAACAGGAGACAAGGCAGAACTTTCTAATATGAAAATAAAAGGGAATGCAATATTCCAGGGTCATCTGGGCACGGTGGCTCATGCCTATGATCCTAACACTTTGGGAGGCCAAGGTGGGCTGATCATAGGAGGTCCAGAGTTCGAGACCAGCCTGGCCAACATGGCAAAACTCTGCCTCTACAAAAAATACAAAAATTAGCTGGACATGGTGGCAGGTGCCTGTAATTCCAGCTACTCAGGAGGCTGAGGCAGGAGAATTACTTGAACCCAGGAGGTGGAGGTTGCAGTGGGCCGACATCGCGCCACTGCACCCCAGCCTGGGCGACAGAGCAAGACTCTGTCTCAAATTTTAAAAATAAAATAATAATGAAAGAAAGAATATTCCAGAGTTAATTTGCCAGGTTACAATTTAAAATAATAAAGAGGCCAGGTGCGGTGGCTCACACCTGTAATCCCACCACTTTGGGAGGCCGATGTGGGCAGATCACGAGGTCAAGAGATTGAGACCATCCTGGCCAACATGGTGAAACCCCATTTCTACTAAAAATACAAAAATTAGCTGTGCATGGTGGTGGCTGGCACCTATAATCCCTGCTACTTGGGAGGCTGAGGCAGGAGAATCACTTGAACCCAGGAGGTGGAGGTTGCAGTGAGCTGAGATGGCACCACTGCACTCCAGCCTAGCAACAGAGCAAGACTGTGTCTCAAAATTAATAATAATAATAATAATAATAATAAAGAAATAAGCTGCATGGATCATGCAAGGCCTTCTATTCCAAGGAAAATAACCACTGTGACAGCAAAATCTTTGGGTATTAGGGCTGAGGTTGCCCTGGGAACAGGGTGTCAGTCAGGTGCATCAACAGCATTCCCCAGCTCTGTGGGCTCCTGCAAGCCTTCAAAGCCTTAGCTTTGAAATAATGGGTAGTGTCCTGCGGGGTAAGAAGCCCTGGCAGGCCATCAGCGTGGCCTCTGGGAAGCTGGGAGGTCCACATGGCTGCCCAGTCCACACCCCTGCTCCAAGCCCCAAGCAAACCAGTGGATACAGCAGGACCTCCCCACCTCTGACCTGTCTCACACTCTGTCACTCTGAGAGCTCCAGGGCGGCTACAGTTACTTAGAATGTAAAACTGTTTAGGCTAACATAGTAAAAAGTATAAAAATGGCATGAGGCTGGGAGCTGTGGTCATGCCTGCAATCCCAGCACTTTGAAAGGTGGAGCAGGAGAATCATTTGAGGCCAGGAGTTTGAGACCAGCCTCGGTAATGTAGCAAGATCCCTCCATACAAAAAATAAAATATTAGTCCAGTATGATGGTGCATGCCTGGGGTCCCAGCTACTTGGGAGCCTGAGGTGGGAGGATCACTTGAGCTCAGGAGGTCAAAGCTGCAGTGAGCTGTGACTGCACCACTGCACTCCAGCCTGGATGACAGAGGAAGGCCTTGTCTCAAAACAAAAATCGGTATGTAAATATTTTGTAGATTACACAAGTATAAAATAAAGGAAAACTGCTCACAGTTTCTCTGGCAGTGCTGCCTCAGAGAACTGGAAAGAAAGCAAAGACCAACCCACAGAACATCAACAGTCCCAAAAGATCAACTGTATCTAATTCAATTTGTGACATGGTTCGCTTCACTAAGACAATCCAGAAGGTGAGGTAGAGACTGACTACTTACTCTGGAACAAAGCTTTTAACAGAAAATGTGCCCAAGTGAGATGGAAAAGAAAAAACTAACATCAAACCCTACAGAAGCTGTACTGTACATTTATTTTTTGATAGGAATGTAGGTTTGAAATTAATAATAAAATATGTAGATTTCTCGTTTATAATTTTATTATAATTATTTCAATACACAATTCAGGCCAAGGAAAAAATTCTTACTTCACACAGCCATTCTTCTCATCATATTCTTTCTTCTCAGCTGATCTAAGAGGTTTTGCATTTGGCTTCTGACTTAAATCACTAGAAATTAAAAAAAAAAATTAATTAAAATTTGTCAACAGCAGCCTGAGTAATGTAATGAGTCCCCATCTCTACAAAAATAAAAAATGCCAGGCATGGTGGTATGTGCCTATAGTCCTAGCAACTAGGGAGGTCAAGGTGGGAGGATCGCTTAAGCTCATGAGTTGGGGCGCTGCAGTGAGCTGTGAGTGTACCACTGCACTCCAGCCTGGGCAACAAGAACAAGACCCTGCCTCCTAAAAAATGAAAATTTATGAACCCATTTACCCCAATGCTGAAAATATCTTTATTTTCTGGATTAAAAATGTAAGAAACACCACTGAGGAATCGGTTTATCTACATAAGCATGTTTCTGTGAGAAGCAGAGCTTCGTCCTTTAAGTTTCACTTCCGACACTTCTGGTGCCGATCCTGGCCAGGATGGAGCAGGCCCGCCACAGCCTCTTTCTCCTGCTGATCACAGCTAGAGATTCTGGATGAGGCCCCAACAGCAGTGGGGAGAAGTCAAACACTTGAAAAACAGAATCACCAGGACTTTCTTGTTTTTTCCTCCCCGTGTCTTTCTGTGTTGACCTCAGGGTGACTTTGTGGCAGATGCAGATGGCAGAACCTCCGAGAGAGACCTCCCCTTTCAAGCCAGAGAAGTAGGAAGAGGCGCCCTTTAAACCAGAGAGTGTTGGGGATCCCCATCGATTTTCTTTTCCTTCCTTGCCCTGCCCCAAGGCCAGCTCTGATCTTGGAGCTGCACCCCGCAACAGCAACAGCAGTGTGGTGACCTATAACCCTGAGAGAAGACCCACACCTAAATCCAGAGGAACTCAGAGACGGGAGCTGTGGTCCAAAGACTGCGTGAGGAAATCGCTATCTTTTTTTTCCCTTATTGTTTTATTCTCAGGGTGGCCCAATCCCACATTACTGCACAGCAATGCCTCTAAGAGAAACCATCTGGCCAGAGGAACACGGGGAAGGAGCCCCTAGAAATTGGTAACTGTAAGGGAAATTCTGAAAAGAAAGAGCGAGCTGGTTCATGACACAACACAAGCCACTGGCTCCCCCAAAGCTAAGCAGATGAAGAACAGGCACTGAGGCCCCAAAGCCTGCGCTCACATGGCCACCGCCACCCACAGACTGTGAGGCAGAGCATGAGGGCTGGACCTCAGGGAGATACCAACCTCCTGCTAAGACAAACGACACAACCAACACTCGTTAGAGAATGTTAACAGAAACCAGAGTCTCACAACATAGCATTTAGAATAGTCAGCGTGAGTGCAAAGCTACTCAACACACATGGGCCAGGAAAACCAGACTGACTTCCGAGAGAGAGGTGGCAATCAGCAGGCGCCAACCCCAGTAGCTCAGGGTGGCGATCACTGGACATTCACTCTACATGAAGAAAAGGCAGCACTCCCGACTGGAAACACACAAGTTCTCAGCAAAGAAATATACACTTTAAAAAAAAAAGGAGAATTTTAGAAATAAGAAATATAGGCCAGGCACTATGGCTCACATCCGTAATCCTAACATTTTGGGAGGCCGAGGTGGGAGGATAACTTGGTCTCAGGAGTTGGAGACCAGTAGGAGCAACATAGTGATACCCCCATCTCTACAAAAAATTTAAATGTTAGCCAGTTGTGGTAGCATATGCCTGTAGTCCCAGCTACTTGGGAGGCCGTGGTAGGAGGATCCCTTAAGCCCAGGAATTCAAGGCTGCAGTGAGCTAGGATTGCTCCACAGCACTTGAGAGCCTTGGTCACAGAGCAAGTCCCTGTCT